TATATTAATTCACCTCACACAAACTAAGAGTTCAAATCTCTCTTTCTCTCTTTTCAACCGTCTAGATCTCTAAATTTTTGAGTTCAAAATATAGAAATTCGAAGAGAATCTCGACTCTTAGATAAATGGGGTGAAGTGCGTGTTTGAAATTTAATAAGGAGGAGATGGGGTTTGAAAATGACAGATTGGGTGGCATCTAATATAGTAGACACGGCACTGCTTTTGTAGATTTGTGCTTGATGTTTCATCTAATGTGGCAAACATACCTTTCCAGATCATGCATCATGATTCAAGTTTCTTGATCAATGACTCCCTCTTTCTTTGCCTACTTGCTTAAGAAAAAATATTGTTCGACTTTCTACGCATTCAATTCAATTAGGATGTTGAGGATTTTAATTAACTTATTAAATTATAGAGTATTTAATTAAGATTTGGAGTGATTTTATAAAATTCAACGTGTATTCAATCAGGATTTTAAAATAGTTTATTAATTTTTTTTATAAATCCGTGTGTATTCAATTAAGATTTAAAAAAAAGTTTATAATATTCCAAGAGTATTCAATAGGAATTTGTTTTAAAAAAAACTTTAAAAAGTGAGGAATTTGAAGCAATTGGAGAGATTTCGTATTGTATTTTAAGTATTCACAAATCTCACATCTTCCCTTGAGATTTCAAGAGATTTTGTAGTTTATCTTGCCTATTTTCTTATCTATTTGGTTAACAAAGAATATTGTTCGACTCCTTTCATGTAAAAAGTCATTCTTTGTTATCAGCAAATAAACTTAATAAATAAAAAACGATAAAAAAAAAGTTTATATCCATTTGTTAAACTGTATTTATTTGTGAAATTAAAATGACTTTTTATATATAAGCCTAATATTTTTCTTTGTTAATCAATGGTAAGAGATTTAATTGAAAGTGCTTATGAAATAATTACAAGTGCTTTTAGAAGCCGAAAGCTCGTCTAACTGTTTTTGGATAAAAAGCATCAAAGTGGTTCTGAAGAAGCAAAATCGCAAGCGGGCCTTATGTCCTTTTGCTTATTTGGAAACTATAAAGGATTGGAATCATGGGTCGGTTGGAAGGCCTAGTCGTCATTATTTTGGTTCACCTAATAATGAAGCCCACAAAAGTAGGTGGACCTTAGAAAATGTTAAGCTATTTGCACATTTGAATATGGGTTAATTTAATTTTTTTTCTTCCTTTAAAAGAGAATTTATGAACAAAATCAATTTTGTCCTTTTTAAAGGATAAAAAAATAAAATTAACTCTGTCAACAAAACTAAATAAAAATAATCAAAATAAAAATTATGAACAATATAGTAAATTAAAAACAAAAATAATATATTTTTTTTTCAAAGCCTCACATCAGATAACTATATTAGTTGCCTTATTTTCTCTTCTACGTTTTTCTTCTTAATAAAAATAAATTTTTAGTGATGAAATAATTATCCAGGAACAATCACTAAAGATATTAACAACATCTTTAGCGATGAAAATATTTTGAAGGTTGTCACCAAAAAGCTTTAGCAACCATTTTATACTCTCTCTTTGTAAATGTGTACAACTGCCAGTTTCAACTAAAAAAATTCTAGTTATCCAAACGTTTGGAATCCCAAGATAACTTGTAGCTCAGTTGGTTAATTAAGTGCATTTGCCTTTGCACTTAAGTTCTCAAATGACTTGTAACTCAATAGTTAACTTAGAATTTGCATCCTTTTAGTTAATATTGAATTACACTATGTTTGGGTGAAGAAATTTAAGATTACTAAGGAATTTGAAAATGACAAAAATTGAAATGATGAGATTTTATTTTCTAGAATTTGTAAATTTTCTTGTTTGGTTAACCTAAAAGAACAATAGAATTGAATACGGAATTTGTTATTTTTAAACTCTCAATCATAGAAATTGAGAAATGACACCTATTTACATGGAATTTGAACTTGGGATTTGGAGGTCCCAAATTCCAAGTTTTTTTTCCATGCGGAAATTCTAAATTTCTATGTTTATAATCCAAACAAGAGATGTCTGTCAATTTATAAATTCTGACTTTTACCAAAATTTCATGTTTATTTTCCTCATCCAAACATAGTGTTATAGTACAAAAAGAAGACTTAGAAAGATTTTGGTTGAAAAACTCGGTCGAAGTATCTAGTTGCCAAACATAACCTAAAAATTGAAAATCTCAGAAGATATGCGAAGGATCTTAGGAAGATGATCAGTAGGGTTCTATTATTGTAGTCCATCTTATAATTAGCTCCTCTAAAACTAAAATATTGATCATGATAGAATCTGAGATTGCTGATAGATTACACAAAATTGACTTGAAATCTGACTACAATCACGATCCAGGATTCCTGCTCATCAATCGCTGCAGGCTAATTATATGGAAATCTAATGTATATGTGGCGGATCAAGGATTTGAATTTTGGGAGTCTTGGTGTTAAAAGTTCAAGTTTTTTATATACAAACAGAGCGCAAAGCGCGCAAAAAATATATTTTATCCACTGAGGCGTTTCGTGGAACACTTGGTGGGCTTATTACCATCAACCAGATAACCATGTTGCACACATGTCAACAGATATCGACATATGTTAAAGCAATCTGATGAGTGATACCGAGAAAATTTGCCAAGTGTTGTCGACACAATTGTCGAGAAATACCTAATAAGTATTGCATCAAACACTTAGTTGATACAAAAGAAACTCGTACTAAACATTCAGAAGATCATCAAAATTCCTTCCCATGACTATTTCTTAGATTCTAAATGATCATGGAACCACTTTGGTCCCGATGTGCATCCACCTCTGTATAAATTGATTTGTAAATATGTATGTGGACATTTCACCAAACAGCTAGACACACTCACATTCGTCTAGGGTTTATCACGGGGACCCTTCGATTTCCATGTCCACCGATAACCTTTTGTGGCACTTGTGAGTGTTTGTCTTTTCGTAATATGCTGAAGCTGGCGAAGTTGCTTGATCAATTTGTGTGGTCATGGTTGTATTTGGTCAGGGCACACTCGCATTAATACCCTTTTGTATGTGTTTGGCTTGTTAAATATGCACTAATCTACTGCGACAAGAAGGAATGCTGCTGTCGATGTATGCATGATATATATATCTCGTATGGAAAATTTTGCTACGGCTCCTTGACGAATGATCTAATGACCAAAAACATGAATGTATAGGATGCTTCGGAGTAAACTCACATTTTCTCTATGCCATATATCTATTTGTATTGTAGCTTGTACTTATATATAGACAAGTACCGCACCGCACTTGATATATTATATTAAATTTTGCTTGTACAACTAACCAAAAAAATATATATATATATATATATATATATAGACAGAGAGAGGACTGCCCCCATACTTAACTGTCGTATTGATGTCATTGTCAATGCATACGGGCAGAGGGTTTTGCACATTAATTCCTTGTCTACATTTTCCTTCTAACTGGTTTTTGGATATGGTATGGTTCTTTTTATATATGTGGATTATCTATGATATTTCTTTTGTTTGCATATTACACATCACTCAAAGTTGAGTGCATCTTTGCTCTGGAGGTGACGCTCACCCTTTATTGGTTATCGATGGATTAGTTTGGTTTAATAGATTTAAAGATATTAATCTTAAATTTAAACTAATCTAACGAGCATCACTCTCTTCAGGGGTGAGCAAAAATGCACTTCTCAAAGTTATACACATGCAAAAATAAATGTTAGGGGTGATGTTAGAGAGATCATATACTTAAACCATATTTTGTAGACCACATGATATGTTGGTTGATAGTTGAACTTTTTTTTTAAATAATTCAACTATCAACAGACAAATCATGCAATTTACAAAATATAATATAAAAACATAGTCTCCCTAGCATTTTTCAAATGGTAATCTTATATCATGGATGGTTTTTTAATTCTTTCCCTCTTCGAGGTACACAGGTTGTGGCTAATTAAAGCTTGAACATGTATAAGTAAGTGTACCTTAATCTAGATTAGTTTACACTTTAGTGCAATTAGGTCAATGATTAATCCCCATGCAACGTAAATACCAACGCTCGAGGAGGTGCAGGGTAAAGAAAAGGAAATAAAAGAATATAATAATGTCTGCACGTGAAATCTCCATACCTTATGTTGTATAGATAAAAAACTGTTGCAATGTAATAATGCAGTGTCATGAAATTGTTATTATATATATATATATATATATATATATATATGGATTACTATATATTGACGCGTACAGCAAAGTCCAGGGTAGATAATCACATGGGGACTGAGGAGCACTCACAGATGGGACTTGATCAGCCAAACGGCAAAGACAAAATCGGTCTGAGATTTCATATCCTCTGCCTGCTGCAACAGTGCCGGTGGGCTCTCGATGTTTCAAGATTTTCGGGTTAAATTACATTCCTTAATTAGCTGCTAGATTAATTTTGCATGCAATCTCACATCCAATCACGTCAATAAACTGCAATCCCCATTTGTTTTTTTTTCCGTAAGTCAATGCGACATTGACGCGAAATTTTATTTGTATCTTCATTTGTTCTGTGTATCCACACACACACCTTTAATGGCGGATTAATTTAGCGACATATTTTGGTCTCGGGACCTTGCGTAAGTCAAAAAAATTGTCTGAAGGGTTACACGGGGACTTTACAGAGGTCTGTATAAATAGTTGTTTTATTTTTCTAAATGACATTGAGAGATGTTGAGAGGACACGACAGATGTCTAACTTGCCTCATCAAATGTCAGTAGGCCCCGAGTGTTTGAAAAACTATTGATATGTTTTTTTTTTATTTATTTATTTATTTATTTTTTTTGAAACAAGTACAATATTCATTAAAGCAATTTAGAATTCGTACAAACTGAGGATAGTGTACTAACTGGGTTTTGATAAAAATCTTGTCGAGGCTTTCAACCTAGTCTAAGAAAAAGAGCGTCCCGCACAACGAAAGTCCTATCCTCAAATGAACAATATGAAATGAGATTACATATCTTCCTCAAACAAAAGATCTTGAATCAAATCTGGAGGCTTCTCGAACCACACCACCTCCTGAAAACAACTGAGGTCCATCCGAGCAAGACGATGCGCAATTGAGTTACCTTCCCTCTGAACGTGTCCACACTCCATATAAGGCAACTCCTTAAGAAAGAACCTCAAATCATTTATAATTGATCCCCAAATGGAATCATCGTCCCCTTTTCCTTTCATAGCAGCCATCACCACACTTGAATCACCTTCCAACTTTACCTTGACATCAGGTGGATATAGCCTCTTGACCAACCTCACTGCATGGCGAGCTGCAATCAGCTCCGAGTACAGGGCCGACGCATACCCCTCGATAGAACCAGCCATAGTTCCTAGAAATACACATGTGTGATCCCTAAGCATGACACCATAGCCTCCCCGAGAGCTGCCTTTACTCCAAGCCCCATTAAAATTACATTTGATCCATCTCACCCCAGGTTTCCTCCATTTTTTGAACTCTTTAGCCGTCCTCCGAGTCTGGGGTTTGTGCCATTTATGAAATTCATGCATCCAACCCCCAGTCCTCAAAACTATCTCATGTGGTGGCATCCGAGCCCCATTCCACAGCACCTCATTCATGTGCTTCCGCATTGCCCATAAAAACATCAACCAGAGCTCAAAAACAACCATGGGAAGCTACTGCACACACGTAACCATCCACTGCACAAGAGACAATCGGTCACAACCACTATCCACCCTTAGCCCTAGACTTCGAAACCACACCACTCTTGCCAAGCTACAATCTCTAAATACATACTCTGTTAATTCTACTTGTACACCACATACCACAGACGCCTCGTTTCCCATCACTTTCCTTTTGCTTAGATTCAACTGTGTGGGTAAGGAGTCCAAGCATGCACGTCAAGCACAAATCTTCACCTTTCCGGAACACTCGCATTCCAGAGTTTCTTCCAAATTTTCTCCCCCACACCACCAAAAGAAGACGAAGATCCACTTGCACCACTACCGTTATTTTCAAGTATACCCTGAGCCATCTGATAAACACTCCTGACTGAGAACTTCCCATTACTTTCATAATGCCATATTCGCCTATCTTCGACATCTTGTACGCTAAGCAGAGTGCTTCGGATTAACTCCACTTCCTCAGGTGAAAAATCATCATTCAACAACCTCGGTACACCCCAAATAAGCTCTTCCACCGCAGCCTCCATATCCCAATTCCTCGGTGGTAGCGTTAAAATTAAAAAAAAAAAAAAAAAGGATTCCCTCAACACCCAATTGTCTCCATATCCAAATCTTCTGCCCATTGCCCACTTACCACCGCTGACTTTTGTGAATCACCTGCCTTGAAGCTGCGATGCTTTTCCAAACATACGAACTATTAGGAGTCATTAGTGCTTCCATAAATTCTAACCTAGGAAAATATCTAGCTTTAAAAACTTGGAAAACAAGTGCTTCCAGTTGCTGGAGAAATCGCCATGCTTGCTTTACCAACAGCGCCAAATTAAATGCATAGAGATCTCTAAAGCCTAATCCCTCCTCATTCTTGGGCTTACAAAAATATCTCCAATTAAGCCAGTGTATTTTCCGTCTTCCCGGATCACCACTCTACCAAAACTTAGCTATCATCCTATTCAGCTCCTCGCAAAAATATTTGGGGAGAATGAAACATTGCATGGAATACATAAGCAGAGCTTCAGGGACCGTTTTAATTAATAATTCATGTCCTGCATTGCTCAGTATGCCACCCCCACCAACTTTGTAATTTCTTCCACATTTTATCTTTCACATACGCAAAGGTTTCCTTCTTCGATTTTTGAACAAGCATCAACAACCCCAAATATTTATCAAGGAATTCCACCCTCCTCATGCCAAGACAATTAGGGGGTGTTTGTTTGGGTTCACTAGCCTTCACTGGATTGGACTACATTAAAAATTAGTGTAGTCCCGTGTTTGGTAATCCCAGGGACTAGTTTTAGTGGGATTAAACGGGATTCGCCTCGACTAGAGACCTCGTTAGAGGTTCTTAGCGAAACCCCCCAAAATGCAGCGGACTACTAAGCCTTTCCTTCGTCTGCTTCGTCTGTTCACTACTCATCGTAATCAACGACCTCGACGTCAAATCCTCCACTCCTTCCCTGCATGGATCTTCTTTTCTCTCCCTGCTCTATCTCATTACCACCCACCCCTAAATCCCAAAATCGAATTAGCACCCACCGATGGGTCGATTCGATCTGAGGCCTAGATCGATGCCGACGCCACCCCACTCCATTTCCCAAGGTCATCTCCCGCTCTCTCTATCTAAGTCTCGACGATGGCTACCACCGCCGTAGCACTGCGTCAGCTCCCTCAGAAGGAGGTTGAATTCAGATGATGATGGCCGTGAAGTCCATCTGGGCACGAAGAACTGATATTTTCAGATGGAAAGATGTAATGCCATATATCCTCAATCTTCCTCAGATTTGCTTATTTTTTTGGTAATATAATATGAATTTCAGCTTTTTGAATATGTTCCGTTTGGTTTAATGGTGTTTGCAATGGTGGTTCTTTCTAATTTAAGCTGAGATTATAGAAAGCCCCATTTTCTGGGTTTGTATATATATGTGTATATATATACACACATTTACATACACGCACACATATATGTATGTATATGTTTTTGCTATATCTGATGTATGTCTTTTGTATTATTTGTTCTTGTTGGTATATTTCCTTATTCGCAAAACCCACATGGATTCTTTTGTGTAAATTTGATATTTTTGGGAAAAAATTGTGATGGGTTGCTTTGTTGTGGATGGGTTTTTGTTTAAGTGTGAAACAAATTATCAATTGTTGGTTCTGAAATCTCAAGAATTTGCAATATCTAGTATGGTAGATGGCACTAGTGGCAATTGCTAGAAGAAGGAGGTTGGATTAAATACGGTATTTGAGTGACACCAACATACTTTGAACATAGAGAAGATGGAATGTTTAACAGGAATAACGTTAATATTTGGTTGGAATTGAAGTTGAAGAAAATAAAATATTTTGTAATATATCATGGGTTTTTTTTTTCATTTTTCTTATTATCCTACTTCTTAGTCCGACACTACACCAAACGCTTCACTAAACTAGTCCAGCTTAGTCTAGTCTAAGCCAGTCTAACTTAGTCCCTGAAGCTAATCCAGTCCAAGACAGTCCGGTGCAACAAACGCACCCTTAGCCAATAATTGCTTATCATAGTTAGTGAGATTTAGACTAAAGGAGACCTCTCAAAATTCACAGCTTGTCCAGAAGCCATCTCATACGAGCGTAGTAACTGTATAATCATCCATCACTCATCAACGGTACCACGAGCGAAGAGGAAACTATCATCAGCGAAAAACAAATGGTGGATACTAGGTGCACCACGACACACTTTAATCCTTTGCAAATCCCCATTAAACTCTACCTTTCTTAGTAACGTCGATAAGCCCTTAGCATATATAATAAACAAATAGGGAGAGAGAGGGTCTCCCTGACAAATTCCGTGTTCCGGGTGCACATAGCCCACCGGGTCCCATTCACCTTAAAGGAGTAGGACACCGTTGTAACACACAACATAACCATGCGGATCTACTGTTCTGAGAACCCCATTCGGTACATCAAGGCTTCAAGAAATCTCCATTCCACACGGTCATAAGCCTTGCTAATATCAAGTTTTAGAGCCATTAACCCATTAGACCCCGACGATCGCTTATGCATATAGTGGACGACTTTAGCAGCCACCAAATAGATGCACTTTGAGTAAGAGAAATAATACGTGGAAGGATAGCCTTTAACCTATTAATAAGTACCTTCGCCACAATTTTATAAATTACATTGCAAAGACTGATTGGACGAAGCTATGTCATCGTCGTTGCATCCTTAACTTTGGGAATCAGTGTGACATGTGTGTAATTAATTTTCCATAGCATTTGTCTCGAGAGCAACAAGTGTCGAACACCATTGCATACATCCGCACCAACCACTCCCTAGTGTTTTTGATAAAACCCATGAGACATACCATCAGGGCCAAGGACTTTCACATGATGCATTTGAAACACTACATTTTTTATCTCCTCATCTATATATGGTCGATCAATCTAGAATTCATCTCCTTCGTAACCGACTGAACAATGTGGCAAAGGATTTCCTCAAAGTTATGCACCCCATTAGAAGTAAATAACTTGGAAAAATACGAAACCACAACTTCTTCCATTCCAACTCTGTCCTCACGCCATACCCCATCGTCATCTATTAAACCAAACAAACAATTACATTTTTGTCTCCTGTTTGCTTTCTGGTGGAAATATTTGGTTTTACGATCAAGTTAACCCAATTTTCTTTAAAATGTTGTCTCCAGAATTGCTCCTCATGTTCAAGTAGTCTATTCAATCTCCCAACCAATTTTTTTTTTTTTTTTTTGGGGGTAGAAGAATAGACTCATCATAAAACGGATGCCCCAACAAACTTGTGAGCTTGTCCTCCACTTCCCGAATTTCCATCTGTCCAAACCTGGTAGTGCTCCTCGCCCAATAATTTAATTTAATTTAATTTAATTTCATTGAAGTCATCTTAATCTTTTCCGTAACCTAGAACATTGGTGAACCATCAATAACACACTCCCATCCCTCATGTACCACCTCAGAACATCCTTCCTGCATATGCCAACATTCCTCATACTGGAATTGTTTTTTGCCTCGACATGGAATGCACCCCGACCAGTTAATCAGCACTGGAACATGATTAGACGTTGACTTATTCAAATGCCTTACTGTGAACCGCGAAATCAAGTCCACTCATTCTTGATTGCCCAAGGCGTGATCCAATCTTACTTTGATACCACCCCCTTTTATCGTAAACCATGTAAATTTGTTCCCCGAGTAGCCTAGATCAATGAAATTGCAATGCTCCACCACGGAACGAAATCCCGCCATCTGCCTATCTAGTCTCACATTGCCTCCTTCCTGCTCATGAGCTTGGAGAGTCTCATTAAAATCACCTATACACAACCAAGGTTTTGACTCGTTGTCACAGAGAGATTCAAGTAGTCTCTTGTTCTTTCAATATTTATCGTCAAGTTAGTTCTAAAACAACCACAAAATGTAGCGTTTTATATTATTTAGTTGTTATATCTGTAATCAAGTGATATGTCGGATTTCTTCTAGCATACGTATCTCATCATGGCAGCCACATTTATAGTGTTGAAGCTTTATTGCAAAATACCTAGAAGCATTTATGTGTCTACTACACGTGGGTAAATAACCGTTTTAACTGACGCTTTAACTTGAAGACTAGGGTTGAACTCTCTGTTGAGCAACTTCCGCAGGCCGGAAAGGTTGACCAAAAGAAAAAGTGACATGCTTCCACCAGAATGAGGAGAGGGGCCTGCAGATGTTTGGGATCACATGCCCACTAAGTTCCCACTATCTTCCGAGTTTTCCACCTGAAAGTGAAACCTTACAAAATGAGACTTCTTCGATAAACTAATGTACTCGTTTTGCGTGTGTATAATTTTTTTTATTTATAAAAAGTGAAGATTAGAAGGATTCATTTGGACACATCTAAGCTTTGATATGTCAAATTCCTTTTTCCTTTGGTTTCAGTTTCTTTGTAGCAAATTAGTAATT